GATCCTAAGGTGTTCAGATGTACATGTACTTCTGAAACACCCTGTATATCGTGCGCCAAGCACATACATGCATGATAGGGAATGGAGTAAATTCTTTAATTCCATTGGCGCTCTCAATTTACCATTCATTCTTTGCCGTGATTTTAATGCACAACATGAAAGTTGGGACAGTACTGTCAGGGAAAACTCGACGGGTACAATTATTGATAGGCTAGCAACAAATTTAGATGTTAATATACTTAACGATGGTAGCGGAACTAGGAGATTGTCTAACAGATCGCACGATTTAATTTGCGCTCCAGACCTCTCGATCTGCTCAAAGGAGCTCACCTTAAGTATGAAATGGGAAGTTCAGAATAATCACATGGAAAGTCATCATTTCCCAATTTTAATAACATGGTCTAAGTACTGCTCGGTAAAACGAATAACTATCAGACAAAAATATAATTTACATCACTTGAATCGTGAAAAATATAATGCAGAAATCTAAAAAGCTGTTGAAAAATTTAATTTAAATCTCACTGTAGACTCCTATGACGAGCTGATTCAAATTATTCAGGAAAAACTAGTTGAATGTAGTAGTAAACAAGTTAATGGCGGACCTCGATCAGTTCCTCCTCCAACTATTTGGTGGACAGACTATTGTTCGGTATTAATTGAAGCTAGGAGAAAGGCAGAAGACGATTTTATCAACAATCCCTCAGATGATTCCTTCACTCATTATTTATCCTTCAGGAAGGAAACCAAACGAGAGTTGAGAAGAAAACGTCGCAGCTTTAGATCCTTCTGCTCCTCGTTAACGCCAGACAAAAGTATTCAAGAAATTTGGAATATTATTAAAGCCTTCAAATCCAGGTACAATACACCTCAGCAAAATAAATCCAATAGTTCGAAAGATCCAGAAGTTGCTAAAGCAATAGAAAAACTAGATAAATACCCATACAAAGTGGAAATAAAATTGAATAAATTTTTGACAGGAAATTATGAATTAAAACGATTAATCAGCAAAGAGGAAGTTAAACATGCCATACATAATTTTAAGAGTAAATCTGCCCCAGGTTCGAATGGAATTAATTACGAGATAATTAAGAAACAACCATTAGAGATGATCAATATAATCACTAAGATTTTTAACAAATTATTGTTAAGAAGGAGCCACACCACAGTCGTGGTCCAAGTATGTAGTCAGCTTAATCCCTAAACCAGGCTCTAATGGATACAGACCAATCGCCATGTCTAACTGTTACTTAAAAATTATGGAAAAAATTATTAACAATAAACTGATGTGGTGGAGTGAAAAAAATCATATTCTTCGTCGTAACTTTTTTGGATTTAGGAAAAATCGCTCTTGCTATGATAACATTGCCATATTAATAACTGATATTGCATCAGCATTTCTTAGACAAATATATATCTGCAATCTTTCTGGATATTGAAGGAGCGTACGATAATATTATACCATCTATACTTATTCAGGATCTGGTAGACATGGACATACCATATGAAATTGTCTGTTTTATTAAAAATATTATACAATGTAGGGAGCTATTTCTTGAATTTAAGGGTAATCTAGTAAAGAAGATTGAAACGGGTCGAGGTTTACCACAAGGAAGTATTTTAAGCCGGCTACTTTTCAACATATATATGAGGAAGATGAATAAATTTATCGGAAGTAGTAGCAAATATTTGTCGTTTGCCAACGTTATATTTATAGTAACTAGTTATATAGTAACGAGGCGGATTAAACTAGAAAACAGTATTATTGAAGAAGTTAAAGAAATCAGATTCCTCGGTGTAATTATAAATAATAAGTTAAACTGGGATCCACACATCAATCACATTAAAGACAAGGCGAAGAAATATGTCTCTATCCTAAAGGCCATAAGTGGCCTAAATGTGGGCGCCCATGCTAGCACATTATTAACAATATACAAAGAACTAGTTAGGGCTACTCTAGATTGGGGATCGATGCTCTACCACGATGGTCCTGAATTGAACAGATTAGACAGAATACAGTATGCGGCCTTGAGGAGTTGTCTAGGCTGTATTATCACCACACCGATAAACGTTCTCCTTCATTTAGCCCGCGAACCACCTCTTATTCATCGGCGAAAATTTCTGACAAAAAAATAGATTGCCAGAACTGTAGCTAACGAAAGATATCTCTTGATTCCGAAATTAAAATTAATGAAAATTACTTATGAAAAATCTCCCAATCGAGGCATTTTATTTCTTCACAACATTTTCCGAATTTGGAACTTATACCAGGATGATTGGAATAATATAGAGACTACCACGATACCATGTTGCTACAGCTATTCATTCGACATCGATTTTCAAAAAGTTGACGTAAACCTTGCAGATGGATATGAAATAAAAAATTCTGGAGATATAAAGAGAAGTTTTGAAGAAATAATGAATAATAAGTATCATAACAAAAAAGTGATTTTCACCGACGGATCCAAGAAAGATGGACGCACAGGGGCTCACGTATGAAAAAATCGTATAGAAAGTTTCTATACGATTTGCGTATAGAATTTCTATAGGTTTTTCGTATATGATATTCGGATATTTCTATACAAAAATTCCCTAGACGGATTATTTCTATACCAATTCGTGTAGAAATTCGTATAGAAATGAACCGTATAGGAAATTTTCGTATAAAAATATCCGAATATCATATACGAAAAACCTATAGAAATGCTATACACAGTCCGTATAGAAAGATTCTATACGATTTTTTCCTACGTGCTGCTGTATGGTGTCCAGATTTAGACCTTGTTAAAAAAATCAGACTACATGGGAAAAACTCCATATATTATGCAGAGATGTCTGCAATTATAGAGGCTTTGTTATTCATATTGGAAGCTAATATCACCGACGCAGTAATAGTATCAGATTCTAAGTCCTCCATTATTGCTCTTCATGGAGGGGTTAGTAAAAAATACGATAAACTAATATATGATGTAAAACAACTACTGAAAGAATTGGAGAACGAACATATTGACGTTGAATTCCTCTGGGTTCCTTCGCACAATGGTATTGAGGGGAATGAGAAGGTAGATCATTTAGCTAGAGAGGCTCTCCTCGAACCGATGGAAGAGGAGTTAACGTATCAGTGTACGGAATTAGATGAACAATTCAAAAAAGAACTGTTTGACTCCGCTTTCGAGTTCATAAAATTACGCAGTGCAGAAAAAGGGAAAGACTATTTTAAGTTCCAATCAGAGATGAAAAAACAAAACTGGTTCAAAAACACGAACTTAACTAGAATGCAAATTTCAATAATTAATCGTATTCGTAGTGGTCACACCTTAGTTAAAAAACATCTATATAATAAAAATATAATTGATAGTTCGTTATGTGAATGTGGAGAGAGGGATATGGATATTAATCACGTGGTGTGGAATTGTAATAGAGTCTCGATGACAGATCGAGTAAAATTCTTTTCAACTATTACAAAACAAGATGTGCAAGTAGATAGTGATGTTCAAGGAATTTTTTTAAACAAACCCCTTAGTGTTGTTATGAGTTTTGTTAAATTTCTGCAGTCTCAAGAACATTAATATTTAAAAAACTGAGTTTGAATTTCAAGCGGGAGGCAGAAACCGACACCTACAACCGAGTTGTGAACTTCCGAGTATAAGAATATGGTACATACTCCTACCACCAGGGAGTCTAACCTTAAGGAGAAAAGAAGAACCCCTCCCGCAGTTGAAACCCGGCGAATTTTATCTCAGAAATAATCTTTCGTATTGAACACAAATGAATATGACTATTAAAAATTAAAAGACCATTTATACAGAATTCTACGTGTTAATTTATCGATTAATGGTCCTTATTCCTGATTTATTGGAATCCATTTAAGATCTAAAAACTTGAAATCGTCTTTCAACTCAGATTTCTCAAATTTTAAGGATACCTTTCTCCTTTTTACGATAGGATTAACATGTTTGAACGTTGCATTTCCTTATGACCCTATATTAACTTAACGTCAAACTTCATGAAGATTACAAGGCAATGGTCAAATTTCACGAGGGTCACACGTGGATGATTAAATTTCACGAAGGTTGAATGTTACAAGGGTCAAATATCATAAGGATCACGAAGGTCACAAGGAGAAGGTCAAATTTCACGAGGGTTAAGCTTCACGAGGGTCACAAAGAGATGATCAAATTTCACGAGGGTCACAAGGGAATGATTAAATTTCACAAATGTTGAATGTTACAATGGTCAAACTTCGCGAGGGTCACTAAGGAATGGTCAAACTTCCAGAAGGTCAAACATCACGAGGGTGACAAGTGGATAGTCAATTTTCACGAGGGTCAAACTTTACGAGGGTCACAAGGAGATGATCAAATGTCCAGAGCATCAGACATCACAAAAGTCACAAGGGAATGATTAAATTGCCAAAAGGTTGAATATTGCAATGGTCAAACTTCACGAGGGTTAAACATCTCGCGGGTCACAAGCGGAAAGTCAAATTTGATGAGGTCACGAGGGTCACAAAGAGATGGCCAAATTTCACCGGGTTCAAACATAGCTTTATTTCAAATACTTATTCCTTCCCAATGTCCATTGAAGCAAGTGGAATGAAAAGTCGTGCCGTTGTCGATCGAATTCAAACGATTTAAACAGAGCGCCAGGCGTTCGGCGCCATAAAGGCTGCGCAGTGGTACTCGAGCGAGGAGTGGGGGACCTGCAGGCCTCGCGTCTGGCATCACCGGCATCACTGTCACTAGTTGGCGACAAGACCTCTGAAATATCTGGCAACCCTGTTTGCCACCTGATTTTGTCGCGTGTTGTGTGTGGATTTTCAAGTCTAGTAAATTCCAGAGGGCTCGTGGG